GTGTGTAGAGGCATCTGAGTGTGTGTGGAGGGGAGGGTGTGTGTGCATGGAAGTGTCTGCATGTGCGTGGATGTGTGTGCAGGTGCATGGAGGTGTCTGCGTGTGCATGGGGTGGGTGTGCATGTGCGTGTCCGGGTGTGCGTGGAGGCATCTGAGTGTGCATGGTGGGGGGTGCGTGTGAGTGGAGGTGTCTGGGTGTGCATGGAGAGGGGTTGCATGTGCATGGAGGTGTCTGCGTGTGTTTGGAGGTGGGTTCGTGGAGGGGGAGTGTGTATGGAGGTGTGTGTGTGGGGGGGGGTGGCTGGGTGCGCGTGGAGGAGGGGGGTGTGTGTGTGGAGGTGCCAGGGTGTGCGTGGAGGAGGGGTGGGTGTGCATGGAGGGGGGATGCGTGAGTGTGGTGGTGTCTGGGTGTGCGTGGAGGGGATGTGTGTCCATGGAGGTGTCTGCGTGTGTGTGGAGGGGAGGTGGGTGTGCGTGGAGGTGTCTGGGTGTGCACAGAGGAGGGGTGCGTGTGTGTGGAGGTGGGTGCGTGTGCATGGAAGGGGAGTGTGTGTGCATGGAGGTGTGTGTGTGTGTGCATGGAGGTGTCTGGGTGTGCGTGGAGTGGGGCTGTGTGTACATGGAGGGGGTGCATGTGTGTGGAGGTGTCTGGGTGTGCATGGAGAGGGGATGCATGTGTGTGGAGGTGTCTGGGTGTGCGTGGAGGGGGAGTGTGTGTGCATGGAGGTGTCTGGGTGTGCCTGGAGGTGTGTGTGTGCATGGAGGTGCCTGGATGTGCATGGAGGGTGTGTGTGTGCGTGGAGGTGTCCGTGTGCCGTGGTGTGCGTGTGCACAGATGTGAGCACACCAGGGGACGCACATCCACCCGCCTGCGGGTGTGTGCGTTGCACGGCCGTGGGTGTGCACACGCGTGGGTGTGCGTGCAGAGCCACTTGGCCGTGCGTGGGGCGGGAAAGGAGGAAGAACCGTCGGAGAAGCGGGACGGGGAGAGGAACAAAAGGGAGAGGGGGCAGCGGGAGAGCTGGAGCCGGGA